GATTGATTCCTGAACTCTCAATTCTATTCCATTTATATATCTATCCTTATGCCTTGAGTAGTGTACTTGATCACTTGATAATAGAAGCTTTGTAATAAGTTAGAAATTGGGAAGTGTGAGTCCTTCAACTATGTTCTTTTTCAAGATTGTGTTGGCTATTCTGGGTCCTTTGCATTTCTATATTAATTTTAGAATCAGTTTACCAATTTCTGCAAAATAACCCGTCTGGGATGTTGATGGTGAATGCTTTGAATCTGTAGATCAATTTGAGGATGAACAATACATTTGACTGTATTATTGGATATTGTCAGAAATAAATTGGCTTGGAAATAACAGCTAAGATAATTAGAAACAAGTCTTTTGGAGTAATGAGAAAGGAGTTTGTGGAGATAGTATATCACTTAGTGGAGGTCTTGGAAACCCAAACTAAGAAATTTAAATTTTATTAGAAAGATTTTATAGCTTCTTTCCCCCAAAATTGGTTTGATTGATTTAATTGGTAGATGATTTAATTCTGATTTTCAGTACCATTGTTTTCTGTAGCATTAAAAAGGGCCTTTTCTATGTTTTCTGTGTGCAAGTTGATGTTTTAAATTAGTCAAAAAATATTTGAATACATTTCCTCATAAGACTATAGGAAATTCAGAGTGACCACTACTAAGCACTCTAGAAGAATAAAAGAACTTTACCATGGTTTTGCTTTGAGGCACCCTACAGCTAATGAGGATTAATTATGTTTAAAAAAGTGACACCTGTTACTTATTCTTGTTTGCCAAGGCCTTGAAACAAAATATGAAGTAGACCAAGATCATGAGAACAGTTCCCTAGCAAAGACTTGGTCCTAATCCTAGCTTATTATGTAGAAAAAGTATGTTGTGCTCAAGGTAGGATTATCTCAATACAAATTCACTCACAGCCCTCACTTGGGGAAAAAAAATCCAGAGAGAAATGCTGTCCTTAATAGTTACATAGTTTTATTTTGAGAACATTTTATTACTTATAACATTGCAATTTAGAAAAATCTTTTTTCTTAATTTTTATAATTTTAATATTGTTAATGTAAGAAATGTCCAAACCTGTAGAGAATTTTTATGAGTTTGAGTCAAACTGACAACCATTGCAAAGCAAAATCTCATTGGATTTAAAAAATGCTCCAGAGAATGGCAACTTTGCAGGTTATTTTATACATTAGAATAAAAGGGAGAGAGGAAAGGAGGGTTACATGAAATCCATTGGTGGTAGATTAAGGGGGCAGGAGAAAGCAAAGCTAGGAAATCTGGGATTGGATAAAAAGTAAAAGGGAGGGACACTTTTTGTATATTGTTGGGTACAGGACAGTTAACATTTACAGCACATAGAGATGGTATGAGGGGAACAAGATAATGAGAGGTTCTGTGGTTTCTCTGTTCTGTTGCTGCGGTTGTACCCTGAGGAGTCTGGAAAAGGAGATTACTCAGATATTTGAAAGGTATGTTATCTTAGATGCAAAAAGACAACTGACAGGCTCATTTAAGGTAAAGCTAGACCTTTGTGAAGGAAGCTACAGGCCTAGGATATGACTAACCACCATGACTTGCTTTTAGTAGGAATTTTTATGTTCAGAACATCCTATGTGGTTACTTCCCATCTCTGAGTTTGTCAGGCCCACCATGCAGTCTGCCCCCGAGTTGTCAGGTTTAGTATGTGGCCCCTTTTTCATCCACAATATGTTTATTAGCAGAAATAAAATTTATTTTAAAAATTTGGCTCTGGTAACTGTATCCTAAGCACTGAGTTTTCATGAAGAATTGTGTGTGTGTGTGTGTGTGCATATAGTTTAAAATTTTGTTTTAAAATAATATCAACTGTATAAAAAAGTTACCAAACAGCAAAGAACTCCCATGTACTCTCCATCCTGATTTTCAAGTAGTTAACATTTTATTACTTCATTGCTCATCTGTGTATGTGTGTGTGTATGTATACAACCCTTGTTATTAATCTTTTTCTGGGCCTTTCAAGGTTGAGAGAGCAAACTGCAAATGTGATGTCCCATTACTCTTAAACACTCTAGTGTATATTTTCCCCCGAGCAGGATGACTCTCCTACATAACAGCAAACATCCTTACACATCAAGAAATAAATATTGGTATGACACTACTGCCCAGTCCACGAAGCCCATTCAAATTGCCCCAACTGTCCCAACAATGTCTCCTTTCCTTTCTGCTCCAAAATGCTATATAGGAATACATGTTGCATTTAGTTGTCGTGTATCTTGAGACTCTAATCTAGAACAGTTCTGAGTCTTTCATGTCCTTGACAGTTTTAAAGAGTACAGGCCTTACTCTCTGTAGGATGGCCTACAAACTAAGTCCCTCTGATGGCAGGAATACCACAGAATGATGCTTTGCGTTTCCCAGTGAGTCATCAGGGGGCCCTGCAATGCAGACTCCTCCCAACACAGGTGTTGGTAACCGTATCACCTGATTATGTTGATTTCTTCAATTACGTGGTTTTCCCCTTTGTGATTGATTAGTATTCCAAAATCATGCTAATATCCTATCCCTCATCAAATCTCCAACCATCAACCTTAGCATCCACTGAAGACTCCTGCCTGAATTACCTTTATAGTGGATGCCAAATGGTAATGCTCTAGTTTCATTATTTCCTCTCAATTATTGAGTTGGCATTCTATAGTTAGAGCTTTCCTTTCTCTCCATTTATTTCTATGAATGTGAACTTGTGTATTCCTATTTTACTCAGTGGATTGTCATTCATTATTACCACTTTATTTTGATGCTCAGATTGTCTCTGATTTGGCCAGTAAGAGCCTAGTCAGGCTGGCTTTTACCATGCAACATTGTTGAGTATGTATACTGCTAAGATTCCTCCATGTTCTGAGTAGCTATAGTTCATTCATTTTGACTGCTTTGTAATATGCTATTTTGTGAGTCTATTGGGTCATCGGGACAGTCATGATGTATTTTTCTATGTTTTTCAATGCAAAAATACGTCATGACTTTCCCGACAACCCAATATATCAGTTTATTCACCCATTCTTTCATTGATGGGCATTCGGGTTGTTTCCAGGTTGTTGCATTCTATTTTGCTGTTGCAACTCTAAAGTAATGCTGAAGTTTAAATGTATTAAAATTTTTCATTAACATCATTTACTTCGTCTGTTTATTATATATTGAGCACTAGAAGCAGCATTATTTTTCACTCTTACCAACTGTGTGTGAATTCGGCTCACTTTTAAAATACTCTTATCTGAATTTTTCATGGAGAAAGATTTAAGCGACCTGTTTTCAAAACCGTTTAAAAAAGGCTTTATTTTATCTTTATATAAATTTCTTTTTGATTTTTCTCCCCATATTTATGGAAGGCCATTGAAAGAAAAGGGTCGAGAAAGTAAAATCTAAAGGTGGAAAACTTCGCACTTAACCAAAACTTTTGCCATCTACGGAAACAGGAGTAACCTCACGCAGCAAAGCAGCACCTCGCGCGCACCGTTCCCGGAGCGCAGGCGCAGAAACTCACCTTGCGGGCCGCTCTTAGTCGGCCCCCAAAATGTTATCGCGAGTCTTGGGATAAACTTGTGGTGATTGCACAAACTAAGTTCTCGCGAGAGGTAATTGGTTGCTATAGTTGCGAAAACGTATCTGCGTCTGTCGCAGGTAAGACAGCTATCTCTCAGAAAAACCTATCTTCCGGCCTTTTTAACCCGGTCCCGAAGCCACACCCCGTCACCTCAATCTCTGCTCCCTAAACCACGGGCAGGCTGAAACGCACAGACGCACACCTGCACAGCTGCACTCCCGTACGCAACTAAATGCCACCAACCCCGCGAGGCGCGGCCGCTCCCGCCAACCCAAGGCCTCCCACTCAAAGCCAGACAGCCCCCGCTGTAAATCACAGACCGAGCTCAGACCACACCCTCACCGCATCGTCTCCTTTCTCTAAGCTGTTTCTAATTTGACTCTTACCCTATAGCTTCTTCTGAGCAGATGGTAAGAAATGCGTGCCTTGTTGGAGGATTCCCCGCCTGACTGCCCTGACCATAACTTGTAATTAGCCAGATTTCTTGCATTCGTTATTCAACAAATATGCCTCTAATGCCTCTTGCAGACAAGGCGTGGTGCCAGGCCCTCACAGGCTGTAAATGTGAATGACAGATTACTTGTCTTTAAGGGAGTAATTGAGCATTCAGGAAAAACAATGCATTTTAATAATACCATTTGTGCTTTGCTTCATAGGTTAAGCAGTGTTGCTATTTTAGTAGTATTGAGTGAAAAAAAATGATGTTTCGTCACCAAAAAGAATTTTTGGGCGGGGGGAGGGGGGGAGAAAGGGTTACAACCCAGTGCATACAGCCATGACAAGTCACGTGTACACTCTGGTCTGCAAGCCAAGATAGAGGAGTATTTATAAGAGGGAAAAGGAAATTAAGGGAAGGGGAATTTAGAACCATAGAGCTTTATTATAAACAGAGTACTTCCAGTAGGGTTCTCGTAATTACATAGAACTTTCATAAACCCTAGCTCCTCCTATAGACCCTCTGAACTGATTATATTTGCTTAAAGTTCCTGTTTTTGGTTTTTTTTTTAGCTTAGCCATCTTGCCACCTGTTGGCAGCTCAGCAGCAACTCAGCTCCAGCCGGGCATCAAACTGCTGTTGCTGAGAGCTCACACTCTTTCCCGAGCTCTTAACCAGCTGAGCCATTTGGCTGGCCCAAAGTTCCAGTTTTTATCAGTGAATATTCACAAGTGTGAAACAGGTCAGAAGTTTTATTGCCCATTTTACAGAAGGTGAAACTGAGGCTCAGAGAAGTTAGGCATTTGTCCAGGGTCAGGGTAGTGAAGGTCTAATTCATGTGGTACTATTGAAAAGTAAGGAAGGAACCTAATGCAAACGGTCATTTCAAATGTAAACTTGATAAGAAAGTTGTCAGGGCCATTTAGGCCTGAATGAGCCTGGAGACATGGTGCTGAATAAGTGATCTGAGACTTTTAGGTGACTGGGAAAATGAGGGAGTATCTGGGAAGAGGGAGTATAATTATGAAATCTGGGGGCAGATACCTCCTTTTTTAAACTGATAAGAACAGATACTACACTTGATCTTGGCCAAAAGGCTGAGCAGCAATGAGATTCCTCCTTTTTTGTACCACCAGTCCTAGACACACTTAGCATAGTATGTCCTAAGTAAATGTTTGAATTGCATTAAGTTCCACTTTGAATCGAGTCAGAAAACATGACCCTTTTTAGAAACAGACATCCAATTATTTTTGAAATTGTGTCCTTAGTGTTGTAAAATAATTAGAAAATATCTTTGACTAAATAAGACATGTCACGACTTTTTCCAGTGGACTAAACCATTCTTTGTGTCTGCTTCTTTCCCATTATCAAAATATATTTTTGTACAGCTGGGAGATTAACCTTTGAGTGGAGCTTTGCACGTAAGGAAAAAAACAGCTATCAAAGACCACCATGAAAGATGTGGGGAATGACATTTCCACCCTCTGTCTTGTGATAATTTGTGTTTAATGGGTTAGTTACCCTCTGTCTTGTGATAATTTGTGTTTAATGGGTTAGTTACATGTATAATGATCTTTTTAGCACTAACTAGTGGTATCATCCTTGTGACCAGCTCCCTAAAGCCCTGCCTGTCTAGCAGCAAAAGTTGGAAAGGGCACAAAACAGAGCGGGACTATTGCATTTCCCCAGTTCTCCCCTGGTATTGGTTATGGTATAACGTGACTCCTTATGGATCTGTGGTACATGAGTGGACAGGTTCATTTATTATGTTTACAGAGACTAAAGAAGACCAGAAGGACTTTACCCAAGTGCCAATATGGAGCAGGCCTCACCAACAGGCAAACCTGTGCAGATCACTGTGACAGATGGATATGACTTGGTAAAGTTATTTCTGGAAATCCGAGAAGTCTCTAGTTTATTTATACTTCTTGAAAATATGTTTGCTGCGCTGAGGTCTCCCTGTCTGTCAAACATCTACCTGTGGATGGGGGGAGGATGCGTTGGGAGCGCCAGCAGTAGGAATGGAGTTTTGCATCATCCTGCGGGCTTTACATAACAATGGCACTTCCTTCTCAATGCTCCTTATTGATAGACTAATCAGCAACTCACATTACTGAGTATGTAAAATACCTGGCAATCTGAATACTAAATTTAACAGGTAAAACAAGAAGGGATTTTCGTTTTCCTAGACAGCACTTCCTTTTTCCTGAAAAGGATCTGAATTCTTCCAGAGTTCTTTTTGTGATTAATTTTATTTGATGAGTTTAAATAATAAAACTATAACAAGATGTAACTATTAAAAATTACAAGATTAATGAAATGGAAAAATATTCAATATAAGTAAAAAAGCTCATTCCAAAGCAGGATTTAATAAATGACCTCTACTTTGTTTTAAAAGGTATATATAAAAAAAGTATGTATCAATGTGTGTGCATATATATATATACAAGCATATATATATATATACACATATATACATATATATCAGGGGTGCCAAATAAATGTATACATGTGACTTGTATTCGTCTTTTGTTATCAGTATACAATTGAGTATTACAATTTTAATACAGTTTTTCCTTTTTAAAAGTGTGTATACATGTTTTTGGCACCCTCTGTATTCACAAAAAAACACTAAAAAATAAATTCTAAAATGTTAATAGTGCTTGCATATAAGAGAGAAATTACAGGTAATGTGTTTTCATATGTGTTTTTCTCTCTTTTCCAATTGTTCCACAATATAATTTTATAAACACAGTAAATGTTATTTTTAAAAACTCCAACATAATGGCATTTAAATACAGTGTTGCTTGAGCACCTAGTGTCTTGCATTAAATCCCTTTCTGCTTAAAAATTTTAAAAGGTACTAAGTAATATTTTTAAACAAATCCAAATCATTAGGTTAAAAATAAATACAATGTTGCATTTAGCTACGACTACATTTGTATAAAGACTTTCTACCTACCCCTTTTGTATGTGTGGTATAGCTTGATAGGAAAACATGGAAAATGCTATTTAGTGCAAGTCAAAATGAGTTGCCAGATGCATAGGAAAATCCTATTTACAATTGAGGATAATTGTAAAGTAGTATGTTTCTGTCAACAGAAATGTTTTAAAGGAGATGCTCCAGTTACCTTTATTCGTGCAGAATTCAATCAGGTGGTTCTGGGAGACTCTGCAAAAATTATTGTTTCTCCAGAAGGAACTGCAAAATACAACTTCACCAGCAGTTTGGAGTTAAATCCTGAAGGAGGAATCACCTTAGATGACCTTGCCCACAAACCTGTGTTCTGTAAGTCCTTGTGGTTCTAAAAATGTTAATTATAAAGTATGTTATGAGGAGATTCTGAGGTATTTAGTAGCTGTTGTTAGGACAGATGGACACACCATACCTTCCTAATCTTAAGAAATAACATGGTGTATGTTGAGTCTCACCTGCTTCTGGGCAGCAGTCACCATGGCCCACTCATTTTAACAAGTTTGTATCAAAGACCATTTGACATAGGACTGAACTTTGCAGCCCTTATCTCCTAAGCTGAGTTGGGAAGTTTTCCTTTGTATTCCTGTATTTGGGGTTGCCAGATTTAGCCAAAAACCAACAAAAAAATTGGGACATACTTATACTAAAGAAATTACTCATTGTTTATCTGAAATTCAAATTTTAAAATCAGCATCTTGTATTTTACTTGGCAACCCTATCTGTAGTTCTGAATACCCACCATACTGTTTAGCAATTATTAATTTGTATCTCTTACTAGAGGAGGCAGTTTTTGAAATATGGGCTGTATCTTATTTATTTCAGAATTTCTACTGCCTAGAAATAGCTAGGACATAAAAGGGCTCAAAAAGTGTTTGTTGAATGAATGAATGGAGAAGTAGATGGATGGTTTCTGTATCCATACTTTTACAGTTTCTAACTACACAGTATTATCTCTGACATACTTTATTCCTATACTTTATACTAGTCTAAGGCTTTTCTGTTGTACCCATACTCTTTATTTTTTATTTTTGTTATTTTTTCTTTAGTGGCACATCTACTGGGGTGCCTGCTAAAACCCACAGATTCCAAGATCCCAAACCCAGAGAGGTGGGACCTGGGATCTGCTCAGTATTATAGAGCAATACTTTCCAAACTGTTCTTTCCATAGAGTCACTGAAGCTCTTGGAAAAAATAGTCTTCAGGGTCCCACCCCAGACCACCAAATTCCCAATTGCCAGGGGAGCTGCACCTTGGAACAAAAGGTGACTCCTAGGGAATGCTCTTCCAGAATAGTGATTCCTAGCCCAGGCCTAGCTGGGAATCAGTACCATGGAGGCATTCATCTGACCCACAGCCTCTGACCACTCCATTTTACTTCTTTCTCTTCTGCTATGCGCTTCTCGGTTATCCCAAATAAGTAGAGTGTCCTGATTGCCTTCTTTCCTAGCATGTTTGATGGGAAAGGCAGAACTAGAACATTCTTTTAAACATGTCACCAAACTCATGAGAAAGGGCAAACCCTTTGTTGAGGAAGCAGAGCAGGAACTAAAAGCTGGAACTCTTGAACAGCTGTCATTAGTGTGTGGTGGTGGTGGTGGTGTGGGGTGTTTTAATGCTCTTTCAGGGACAAAGATGTTGGGCTGCTTTAGATGGGGAGTTAAGACTGAAACCAGCCCTCCCATCATAAGCCAAGACTCACACAAAGAATGGACTAGAAAAAAGAAAAATCCACTCATCATCATATGTGTCTAGGCCCTGGGTAGAAGGAAAAAGTCTTCCCTAAGAATTAGTAGTCGTGCTCTTATGCCATTCATTAAATAATATATATTTTCTTAAAACACACAAAGAATATTTATATAATAAAAGCTGGCCACATACCAGGCCATAAAGCAGGTACTGCCATATACCAAAGAATCAATAGCATAGAGATCAACTTTTCTGATCAAAATACAACAGTCAACAAAATTAGAAATCAGTAACACAGCAAAAACAAGAATCCATTTGGAAAATTTAAGACACACTTATGAATATTTCATGGGACAAAGAAATATCATAAAACTACAAAGCATTTCAAATCAATCAACAGTAAACAACAAATATCAAAACTTGTGACATATAGCTAAAGTGGTACTTAGGGATACAATAGTTT